GACGATCAGTTCGTGGACCCCAACATCCCCATCCGCTCTGCCGAACACATCCATTATCCCGGCCGGGAGCACGTTGGGTGCCAGGAGATCCGCGCTGGATTGCTCGAGCGCAAGAGCAAATACCTCAAAAGCTACACAGCTGGCTGGTAAGTTGATCCCCAAGTACGTTCACACTGTCACCAAGAACGCGTTACTGATATTCTCGGTCACAGGTATGTACTTTCATCGACTCATCTTCATGAATTCAAGTCCGCAGACAAGGGCCAGGCCCCCGTCATGTCTTTATATCTTCCAGAGCAGAAATTAGGTTCGCACTCCAGCGAGGGAGGATCGTCCAACAAGTTTATCCTCAAGGGTCGCCAGACGGGATCAATGCACCGTGGACACACATGGGTCTTCCGTGCCGAGAGCCATGATACAATGATGGCTTGGTACGAGGATATCAAGGTTCTTACCGAGAGGTCGCCGCAAGAAAGAAGCGAATTTGTACGCGGCCATGTTCGAAGTCTCAGCCAGTCTTCGCAACGCTCTACTAGCAGCGATGGTGTTTTAGAAGACGACGACGACGACGAGCCATTCTCGGCCGACACAGCGGTTGCAGCCAGCACGAGTTCGAGACAAGACGTCCGCCGTCCCGAAGCAGGTGGGCGATTCCCATCCGACATCCAAGTCAACGCACAGCGAGGCTTACAGGCACCTCTTTCGCCATCTAGTGTAAGCTCTGGATTTGACAACTCTGACCGTGACGCCGCTGCGCAAGCATATGCTCTCCCTGGAAGCAAGCTAGGCGTTTATCACGGATCGAATGAACATCCTGAACATCCTACAGGTTACGGGGGTTCAGACCGGACTCCCATGGAAGAAATGCCTTCCCATGCAGCCGAGTTGTCCCAGCAGGCTCAGGAAGATGGAGTCAACCCTTATACCAGCGAAACGATTCGTCGATCTCAATCTGGCAGCCGCGGGCATCAGGCAGTGTTCGTACCTAGAGCTGAGGAACAGCGTGTGCAGAGCCAAGTTGGCGCTATTGGCAACTACGACGAGTCTAGGCCTGTCTCCAATGTCAGTGGATATGACCGTGGCCTCGAGACACCAGGAGGCAACAGCCAATATGGGCAATGGATGAATGGCAACGGGAAAGCCTCCTCAGACCTGTCCAACAGCGGTATCGACCAGCAAGAGACGAGCGAGTACTACGCGTCAGGTGAACGATCTGCAGGTCACGTCAATGTGATTCCCATTGTTGGCTTGGGCAATGGACATATGCAGACCAGGGAGGCTGATCACAATGGGTTCCCTGGCGTTAACAAAGCGTCGACGGCGACAAGCCAGGATGTGCCTCGTCAGCATCAACAGTTGTCTGCCATTCGCCCGACTTCTGGCACTATTAGAACCGACAGCGTACCGACGATTTCCAACTTGCATATCCCAGGTGAATACCCAAAGGGTACGCCAGGGGTTGAGGCTAGACGTTGAAGCTAGACGTCGAGGAGAAGACGTGGCAAAGGAACTGGAGTACAGGATCGGCTGGGAGGGAAAATGACTCGGACGTGAGATTGGGGCACTGGAATAGGAGATGGGTCTGGCTGTTCGCTTTCCATCCTTTGTGACTACAATGGTATGGGTTTCTTTTGTCGAATTTCCTTGTCCCCTATGTGACGGAAGATGGAGAATGAGTGCTCAGGGGAGCAAGGCGCTAGAAGAGCAATGAGGGTGCCGACCCCCCTTTTTCATTTTGACGCTACTTTATTCATCTACTTGGCGATTTCCAGCACAATGCAAATGATATCCAGACCTTTCGAGACGCTGAAATCTGTTCTTTCTAGGCGTATTCGTCTGCATCAGATCTACCCCTAAACTTTACTACAGATACTAGGAGTGCTGTTGCACATATTACTGCCAGGCCACCTAGTCCGATCCCAAAATATTGGGCTCCATGGAACCCGGACAGCCTGGCTGCGCCACCTGGATTGACTTGGACCTCTACGGTTCTCGCCATTCCCAAAGCTAGTGACATGGCGTAGCTCGACACGGCCAAAACCAGACCACTCGCGACTCCTTGTTGCCCCTCTGTCAGTTTTTGTCTAAGCAGGATGGTAGCGAGTGGTGTAGTCAAGACCATCCCAAGCGGAGCGAACAAGGTGCTGACGAACGTATTTGCCCAATACGTTTGATTGAAAGGTGCCGTCGCCATAAGGATGGACGCTAGTAAAATGGACAGAACAGCTGCAAGGAAAGCCCAGTATACCTCGTCTCCAGGCATCAGATACGCCAGCAGCAAACCCACGGCTACAGCCTCGACGGCGATGGGCACAAAGCCCGCGCTGGCGAGAAGCGGATTCCAACTGCGGAGAACCTCGACGGCTTGGAAGCTGTAAAAGGCCCAGATGACGAAGCAAGCCCACGCCGCTGCCGTGCAGCCCAGGATCAGGTTCGGCCTCGAGGTCATGGCGCGCAGCGGGAGTAAGGAGTTCGCGGCAGCAGTCTCATTGTAGAGGAAGGCGGCGAGGAGCATGGTGCCGATGATGAGGATGAAGTAGGTGTATGGTGTGCGCCAGCCTACGGCCGGTGCCTGGTTCCATGCGAAGCTGAATAGGATGAGGCCGCTGCTGCTGAGGAGGGTTCCGGATAGGTCGAGCTGGACCCAGACAGTGTGAGCGTATGCGGGTTTCCGGGGGGCTTGTCGTGGGACGACTAAGAGGCTGAGACCTGCGGCGGAGATGTTGACGGCTGCGAGAGCGAAGAAGGACCATTCCCAGGAATCGTTGTATGCGAAGAGGGAGGACATTACGGCGCCGACTACGAAGCCTACGGGTGCGGCGACGCTGAAGAACGCGAGTGCCATGTCCTTCCTCTGGCTCGGCAGCAGAGTCGTCTCGAGAACGGAGAAGCCGTTGGGTATGCAGAGCGCGGGCCCGAGACCCTGCATGGCACGGCAGAAGCAGAAGTAGGCGGTGCCGTTCGCCGCACCGTTCTGGACAGTAACGGAGAAGCCGGCGAGGAGGCTCCAGAGCGCGAACCAGAGACTTCCTATAATAATGACGGGTTTGCGGCCAAAGACGTCGCCCAGGCGTTCGGACGGGAGGGCAAAGGCCCCTATGGTGAGTGTATAGGCCGCGGTGAACCACGAGTGCTGGCCGCTCGGTAGATCCGGGAACGACTCGGCGATGGCGAGGGCTGGTGCCATGGCCTGGGCGAGACTGGCGAACATGAGGAGTTGGTAGAGGCTGACGACGGCTACGAGGAAGGACTCCTTTGCGGATGATAGAGGCTCTGGCGGTCCTTCTCGGAGGAGAGGCTCTTCCGGGTACGTTGTGTTCTGTAGGGCCCAGGAGATGCGTTTCTCGTTTTCGGGGTACCTTGATTTCTCGCCGGGTCTGTTGAGGGGCGTTCCCTCCGTTGAGGACCTGAATCGTTGTGTGAAGACTATCCTCCTGGCGGCCTCGAATAAGTCTGGGTACTCTGAAGGATGCTCGAGCGCTTCTGGACATAACCCTCTCGGTAGTGTGGTAGGCTTTACCAACGGCGTCGAAGTCGCTGTTTGTTGGGCATTTGTTTCCGGTTCGTTGGATGGGGATGTGATATCTGTAGTCTGATGTCGGGGAACGGACAGCGCTCCTAGCATCATGGTCCGTGATAGCGGCGACGTAGTCGGGTCACGAGAGGAGGTAGGCGATACAGGCATCACAGCATCGTGTCTCGAAATATCGAGAGCTGAGGGAGCTGTGCTCGGCCTTGAGTAGTGAGAGTTCGTCGGGCTCACGCCGTCGTCAGAAAGAATGGGGGAGACGAGAACGGGAGCCGAAGTCCGCCAGTTCAAGTTCCCAGGCCCATTGGGCCCGAATGGCCTATTATCATTGGCATGTTCTTCTCGGAACTGTTGTCGAAAGGACTCTGTGACTGCTATCATGACGTCCGCCACCCTCTGCATGGCCTCGTCTGCGTTTCGTGTTTCCCATGCTGTCGTCGGTGTGCGAGTAATAGACGGTAAGTGTGTGGTGCTTGAGTTGCTCATGTCGGTATGTATTAGGAATGTTCATTGGCGAGGACTGCTGCGTGTAGAATATGGTCATCCAGTATTCGATATTCGACGGGACTCTATATTATGGGCGGCAACAGCGGCAACACAGAGTGAATAGTGAAGCACGAGTAGTTAAAGGTGTGCTAATAGAAAGCAACGCCAATACAAATGGAAAAGAAAGTAAGATGGAGAAGGAGAAAGGGAGCAGAGGAGGCCGATTACCAGTCCAAATCAGGTGCGGGTAGGCCTTGAGAGATGAACAATTGCTTGTAGGGGCACGCAGAGCAGCCCGAGATACAGACAACACGGGATCGGGCATTGAACGAGACACACTTGCCCAACTTGGTCACCTCGGTAGCTTGAACGACTCAACAAATGAGTGTCCACTTCAAAGCTTGAGCTACCGATCCCTGGTGGATGCTGACGATGGCACTCGCAAGGGGGCTGGCGTAGGCAGTTATTATCCTTTTGGCAATGGGTATGGGCCTTGATCAGGGCGCCGCAGCAGTTCACTGCCTCTCCGCGGTCCCGCGTCTCGAAGGGCCCGTTCAAGGCTACTGGAGCTTGTCTAAGAAAAGTGCCAATGCTTGTTCTTCTGGGCTGAGGTGTTTGCTGCTCGAGGCAGACACGTTGGGGGGGGATCTTGATGCATGTCTCTCTTCCTTTCGGGTGACTACCGGTAGGCGGCATGCAAGATATGCATCTTGCCGGCGCATTGGACTAGTGTATCAAATCGACACTCGTCTTTGGATCGCACCAGCAGTTTATGGACACACGCGGTGACGTCCTATCCAATGTACTCCATCGGTTTGTCAGGGCTACTGCTAGTGCCCAGAACCCACGATTGCGGAAGGCTGGGTATTCATCCAGAGAGACGCCAGAGGGGGACAGTATGCAGACCGCCAAATGTGCTTTTGGTGTTCAGCAATGCTTCAACTGCCTTGGATCCTGGATAGATAGACGACGTTGTGACAAGGATCCCGGTAAACAAGCAAGGCTGATGCGAAGGAGGATGGGGGATTGGCGCCAACGATGTAAGTCAGACCCCACTTGTCAAAGAACCGCGCCACCAACAGAGATCCTTCGTGAACGCCCCAGACCGCTTGAGGGAACTTCCGTGATACTGTACAAATGAGACGGAGTTCGTGGTCTAGTACGACAAGTGCCATCGTATTGGCGGGTCCGAGATCAAAGTCCACATTGTTTCGTGCTGAGCTGACATGAGAAACGAGCTCTGTCCTGATAATGGGTCAGAGTTGTCAGAACGAATTGATGCTATACGAAATTCGGGGCTGAGCTGCGAGTGACTACACTATGGATATGAAGATGAGTGGAGAAGGGAACGTGGCATTGAAACTCAATCCGAATCGTGAATCTCCAAAAAACGGTCAGTCGTCAATCGTGTGCCCGAAATCTGACAGACAGTCATTGCCGGTGGGACGACTGGAATGAAAGACGTGATATTTTTGGAAATGACATTCCGTCAGAGACTCAGCCTCATTGCAGAGAGGTAGCAGCGGGGCTGTGGAAGTTGCTTAGGCTCTCCGTCCTAGACCGGCTGCCTAGGTAGGAGCCAAGCCACTCATTCTCTTATATTAACTTAGTACTTGTCTTCTTTGATCTGGCAGTTGAGAAACGCGCGGCAAGAGCAGCAAGCATATCGAAATTGACGACGCACTTAGAGGCGAAGGAAGGTATATGCATCCACTGCTAACAACTTAGCAGTCTAATCCTTTTCCGTAGTGAACTTGGGCTTGTCGCCTATTGATCATGAAGCGCACGGCGCAATGACGAACGCGATTACACCGCCATTCATGTTTCTACTGTTTCATTCGCTGCTCTACTAAATCTCATCTTTGCTGTTTGTACTATCTGCGGTTGTTGTCGCACGGAAACGATCATTGAACTAAGAAAAGGCGAGATGCGTTCTGAACACTTACTGGCGATAGCTTGGCTAGAAAAGTGACGGCCCTGACTTGAAGAGATGAGCATTACTAGCCTCAGTTATTCATCGACTTTCTTTCTCACAGAGATCGAGACTTGTCAGAGAGGTCGCATTAGTGGCCCAGAGACTTCAAACAGTCAATAGCAGATATGAGGCCGTGACCGTCGTGAACTGTCCGACACTTTCAATCAAGACTTTTCTCTAATTTTTTGGTTGACCACAGTGGATGATGTACATGTAGCCTCGAACCCCTATCGCCAGGCCCGATATGAAAGCAAAGCAAACCCGAACGCCAGAGTCGTAGTCCAACAGATAAAACCCTCCCCTACTCAGACTTTGAAGCTAAAAACTCCAGTCATGGCCTACCGGCCTCCTCTGCTGAAGCCACCCCGACCACGGCCGCCGCCGAAGCCACCACCTCCTCTCGGCGCACCACGGCCACCGCTGAAGCCGCCGCCGCCGCGACCGCCTCCACGACCACCGAAACCACTGCCGCCACGGCCTCTGGGAGCACCTCCGCGGCCGCCAAAGCCACCGCGGGGGCCGCCACGACCACCTCTTGCTGGGCCACCACGGCCGGCACGCTTGACCTTGGGCGCACCTGGGGGAGGCTTCGGCTTAGGCAGGAACTTCTCCAGCGGCAGGAGCTTCTCGGATCCGATGTAGAACTTGTCGCCCTCCTTGAAGGAAGTGGCTTGGATACCCTCGGAGGGCTTGATGGTGAAGTAAACCTGGTTGATAGGTCCGAGGACTTCGTCGACCTTGCCAACGGCAGTCTGTGAAAATGTTAGTCGAATTTTTTCTTTTTTGCTTTCGCTTTATTGGTTCGAGATTAAAATCGCCCGAGGAGATGTCGCACCTTGTTCTCGAGGAAGATCTGAGCGTTGAAGTGAGGGACCTTGGGGTTGATGCTCTCGCAGATCATCTCGCCTTCGCAAGCGTGCATGAACTTGCCCATCTCTACACAAAAAATGACGGTTAGGGTGCTGTTGTAGTACAAGACAGCGGGAAGGTGAGAGAGCATACCAAGGATCGTCGCGGGCGGCCCCATGTCTCTGTTCTGAAAGCCACCACGGCCTGTGAAGTCAAGTTAGCATTGTACTTTGAAATTTCCGTCACCAGACAGAGCCAATCTGCAAGTGCTTTGGAAGGAAATGCAAAAGTAATTGCATACCTCCAAAACCGCCGCCGCCGCGACCACCGAAACCACCACCGCCGCGACCGCGCGGAGCTCCTCGTCCGAATGACATGTTGATATGTGGATTGGCGGGTTATCGTTCGGAGCTGCTCGTGTACTGAGTGCTTCGTGCTGCTATTGAAAAATCGAAGCCGTCGGGTAGCCGACAGAAAATTTCCCAGCGACCAAATTATGGTGCAGGCCAATCGAGCTACCTCATTGGCTACAGCTGGCGGGTCGGAATAATCCCTTCCGGGTGACCCCGCCAAAATTTCCAATGGCCAGTGCCACCCGACTGCTTCCAACCCACCTGCCTCACTTGAGGGCCATTGGCGGGGTGGTGGGTTGCCACTGCAGGGAGTGCGGGCCAGACACCACCACCAAAAAGTCGTCCGAACACCTTGTTTGACTCACCGTAGGCTTTGGCGGGGTTGCTTCGCTGTGTTTCGCCCAAATTTGTTTGACACGAAAACCGACCTTCGTGAGCCTTCATTCTTCCCAACCCTCACCCTTCTCACGCCCACCGCGACCGCTCAATTGGACGACATTATGGATTCCGCGAAGCAGGCCGTCGAGGCCGTTACCGAGGGCGTTAAGAAGGTCGCCCTTAACAAGGACAAGGCGCCAAAGAAGGACAAGAAGGCGAAGGATGCAGGCGATGCCTCGGCCGGACCCCTGGAACTTAACCCTCCTCCCGATTTCCTTCAGAAGAGACTCGACCTTTTCGACAAGTTGAAGAAAGAGTACGATGAAGAGCTCGCCAGCAGGCCACGCGAGGCCATCACCATCACCATGCCCGACGGCTCTATTCGCCAGGGCACCAGCTACGAGACGACCCCCGGCGAAATCGCGAAGAGCATCTCCAACAGCCTGTACAAGCGCACCGTTGTCGCGAGACTTGACGGCGACCAGAACCAGTTGTGGGACTTGGATAGACCCCTGGAGAAGAGCTGCAAGTTGGAGTTGGTGAACTTTGACGACGAGCAGGGCAAGCAGGTCTTCTGGCACAGCTCTGCACACATTCTTGGCGAGGCTTGTGAGAGGAGATTCGGATGCTCTTTGTGCATCGGTCCCCCGGTCGATAACGGTTTCTATTACGAGATGGCGCTCCCCGGCGGCGCTTCTGTCCAGGCTAGCGACTGGAAGCCCCTCGAGTCCCTTGTTGGATCGATTGTGAAGGAGAAGCAGAAGTTCGAGCGTCTTGAGCTTACCAAGGAGCAGCTGCTGGAGATGTTCAGCTACAACAAGTATAAGCAACACATCATCAACGACAAGATTCCCGATGGTACCAAGACCACTGTCTACCGCAATGGTCCTTTGATCGATCTTTGCCGTGGACCCCACGTTCCCAGCACCGACCGTATCGAGGCTTTCAGCATCATGAAGAACAGTGCTTCCTACTTCCTCGGTAACCAGGAGAACGACTCGCTGCAGCGAGTCTATGGTGTCAGTTTCCCCAGCAAAAAGGAGCTGACTGCGCACAAGAAGTGGCTTGAGGAGGCAGCTGCTCGTGATCACCGCAAGTTGGGCCAGGACCAGCAACTCTTCTTCTTCCACGAGCTCTCCCCCGGCAGTGCCATGTGGTTGCCCCACGGTGCGCGTATCTACAACACCCTCCTAGCTTACATCAAGGAGCAATACTTCAAGCGCGACTACCATGAGGTTATCTCCCCCAACATGTACAATGCAGAATTGTGGAAGATCTCCGGCCACTGGGACCACTACAAGGATGACATGTTCGTCCTCGATGTCGACAAGGAGAAGTTCGGCTTGAAGCCCATGAACTGCCCTGGTCACTGCCTTATGTTCGCTCACACCCCCAAGGCGTACCACCAGCTGCCGTGGCGTGTTGCTGACTTTGGAGTCCTTCACCGCAACGAGGCCAGCGGTGCCTTGTCCGGTCTCACCCGTGTGCGCAGATTCCAGCAGGACGACGCTCACATCTTCTGCAGAGAAGATCAGATCAAGTCTGAGATCAGCGACTTGTTTGACTTCCTCAGCGAGATGTACGGCCTGCTTGGTTTTACCTTCAAGCTCCGTCTGTCCACTCGCCCAGACAAGTACTTGGGAGAGCTTGAGACATGGAACAGGGCGGAAGACATGCTGAAGCAGGCCCTTGACGAATTCTCCGCGACAGATGGCGGTGTGCCGTGGACTATTAATGAGGGTGATGGCGCCTTCTACGGCCCCAAGATTGACATCAAGATCCTAGATGTCTTGAACCGTGAGTGGCAGTGTGCCACCATTCAGCTGGACTTCCAGCTTCCTCAGAGCTTCGGTCTTGAGTACGTCTCAGCGGAAGTGAACACAAAGCCTAAGGAAGAGGAGGCCCCTGCCGCTCCCAAGGTCCCCGAGTTCAAGGCCAAGGACCCTCAAGCCATTATCGACTCAGCTGCCGGCACTGGCGAGGAGAAGGAGAAGAAGCGCGTCATCAAGCCTTTGACAAATGGCTGCCAGCGCCCCGTCATTATTCACCGTGCCATGGCTGGATCCATTGAGAGATTCACAGGTAAGAATTGCAGATGGTATATCGCTTGAGTATCGCTGATGTCGGTGTCACAGGTATCCTCATCGAGCACTTTGCCGGAAAGTGGCCCTTCTGGCTCAGCCCTAGGCAAATCATGGTCATCCCTGTTGGCAAGGGCTTCGTCGAGTACGCCGAGGAAGTCCAAGCTACTTTCAAGAAGCAGGGCATGTGGGTGTAAGTAGACTTCCGCTCCCCGCATTGATGTGGAATGTTTTCGCTAACTCAAACCTCTCCAGCGATGTCGACACTTCCGGCAACACGTTGCCCAAGAAGATTCGTAGCGCTCAGTTGAGGTACGTACAAACAATCACCCTGCATTGCCATTGGAGGGGAAATTTACTAACATGCGTAGCCAATACAACTTCATTTTCGTCGTTGGCGACGAGGAGATGAAGAACAAGCAGGTCAACATCCGCTACCGTGATGACACTTCGAGCCAGGACCGTGGTAAGCCCGTTGACGTTGCCGAGGCCGTTGAGAAGATCAAGAAGCTGCGCGAAGAGCGCGGCACCTACAACCCATTCCCCTCCGTGGTGAAGCCCAAGGAGGACAAGGCATGAACGTAAGAGACGGAGCATGGCTTTTTTCATGACAAAATGAATTTTGAAGATGGTGTTTGGGTGGATGGTGAAACATTTTGCAATTTGTAGCCCAGACTAGAGGCGCAAATCGTATCCCTGGATGTGCGGAAACAAAATACGAAAACTTGAGTTCCGAATCATGCAATGGACTACAATCGAGTGACAAGGAAAGCAATTGGTTGTAGAATTTGGGGTATCATGCGTATTGTATTTTCGCGTGCGCGCTTAGATGTATATCTCTGTACTACAGACGTTCGTTTCTTTAGTCTACTTGACTGGTAGTTTTCGCTCCATGTTGTTCACCCATGGCCTCACCTCGTATACTTCCGCAGCGAAAGGCTAGTTCATGGTTCTTGTTCTCGCTGCACAGACAGATCATACCCACTCCCCCCTCATTCTCATTTTTTTTTCTTCTTTGGAACACGAATCGGGGGCGCAAGCAAGTCTCCAGGACTAGGACAGGCTGTCGCTTACTTAGCTCTATGTGTGTCCGCAACAGCGAAGAGACACACGCTCAAGGCTTAGGGATATGAATGCTCTTGCTGGTCATGAGGCATCCGTGCACGATGAACACAAGAGCAATGGGGTGGAATTCCAGAGCAGTTCCCGACAGCCATGTTCCGAGAGGAAGGTCCTGGAGAATCCAACGCTGAGACACCAAGTACGCCATCACAGCGTCCAGGCCAAGACTGGTAGGGATGGGAGTGCCTTCGAAGTATTTGCTTTTTCCAGTTGCGTCCTTGGGAAGAGCGGCGACGGTTACGTTGAAGCGAGCGAGGCGAGTGAGGCCGCAAAGGACAAAGAAAGTCAGGCAAAGGTGGTCGATGGGTGTGCGCAAGCCAAGGGCAAAGGCCACAGACGCAGGAGCGACGCCGAAAGAGATCTATGCCATACGTTAGCCGTGTCTCCAATGGCTTTTTGCAACGCAATTCCGTCCGCAGAGATCCTTCAATGTCTGCCTAGGGTTCTAGACGTAGGCAATCGATCTAGAGTAAAAGAACTTAGTCGCTCGGGAACGTACCAGGTCAGCCAGAGAATCAAGCTCTTGGCCCATCATGCCGCTCTTCTTTCTCCACCGCGCAACTTTGCCATCCATGAAGTCGAAGAAAAGGCCGAATGGCAGGAAGGAGAGAGCGAGGTACAGCGTGCTGGTGGATGAGGGATCGCCGAGACAGTAGCGGAGAGAGGTGAAAATTGACATGACACCACAAGCTCCTATTCCATAGTAAGTCAGCATTGCTATTCTCCTCGAGATACACTATTATCGCCTTGGAGGGCAACCGGTCTCGTAAGACGTATTTCGCTTAGGACAATATGCGGAAGAGGCTGGGGATATGTAAGATCGTACCATTACAGAGAGTGATTGCGTCGGCGAGGTGGAGGGCGCGGATCAGAGAAAAGTGACCAGGATCGGACGAGAGAAGGAGATTCTGCTTGTCGTAGGCTACATTGAAAGCGATGGATTAGGTCAGGTCGCATCTCAAGAGGGTGATGCGGGCAACATACTGGGCTCGGCAAAGCTATCAACAGCATCTTTGGCTGCCTTGCCGTTGGTGGCTACGCTGCTTGTCCGTTTCGACATGTTTGGTCGGGGCTTTCCCTGGAGCTAGCAGTGTGAACTTTGAAGACGTTGTTGGTATGGCCGTTTTGGCTTCGTGATTTTTCTCGGTCCTTGGGGAATCTCGACAGTGGGCGTTGAAGGGAAAGGTGTTGACAGAGAGATAAGAGGTCGAGGGGATTGAGCTACTTTTTGTACGCAGCAGTTTCGTGGAGTGGGAGGCAGGTACAGGAAGAAATGTGAATGGAGGTGCTGGGCAAGCAAGGTAGGTAGGTAGGCATGAGGTAAGTCGGTCACACTCTTCCGCCTCAAAGCCAACTAGGATAGCTGGGGAAAGCACATGCCGTCATAGCCCTGTCGTTCTAGACCTGAAGACGACTAGCGGGGAAGCTGGTCCAGCTCACGAGGCCCGTTGCACGTGACTTACACCATAGCATGAGAAGATCGCACGGTCCAGGCACCGCCAGCAACCGGGAAATCTTGGCACGGGTGACGATACGTACTCATATACCTTACCCCGTATGGTCAAGGCAACTTTGGCAGGTTGAAGACTTATAGGAATGCAGCTGTCAATGCGACACGTGCTATTTCGAGGTCTAAGCTTCATATATGTAGCCGTGTATTCATTTCGTGTATTATTTACAACGACGAGGCAGATCACTTATTCATCTGCTATAGACACCACCTTCGCTTGTCGCGTCGAAGTGGCCAGCGAACCCATTCACCGTGTCCAGTAGTCTTGTTCATGTCCTAGGCGTCTCGCTTGCTAGGTCTTCCGAGGCCAGTATTCCCCTATGTTGATGCTCGTCAACCAAAGATGGCGTGCCATAGTCTGGGACGCAATACTCCAGTATAAGGCGTTATGTCTCGGCATGCTTCGCCAGGAAGTGGTAGCAACGACGCGCGATTTCCGTCGTTGATTTGCCGCAAGCCAGGGAACCATGCCAATTACATGGATGGCGCTGAGCCTCCCATCCTTTCTCCTGTTTCGTAAATACTATTAAGTTTTATCTCCAGCTGCCGCTCGTAAGAATGATAGAAACGCCACTGATTCCCTTCATCGAACAATGAGGATCGAAAATCCGTCGACCCATGCGCCACAGGAGCCTGCCACACCGCAAATGGTGTATCCTCTTGGGGGTATCAAAGTATGTCTGCCGGGTGGTCAGCGACACTCGGTGAATAGATGATAGTTGCGTTTTCAGACTTACGTAGATCCGCCCTGAGCATTGCCAAATATAGGCGACCGTCTACCCAAGCTCGTGAGGACCTGGATTGCATCAATCCAAGCACCCGAGCGGACGTAAAAGCCCGAGATGTATTCACCCCGGCGGATATCTGTTGAACATCTATTAGTATATGGTTGCTGATTAGCCCTGATAAGAAGGACGTACCAAAATCGAATGTATCGCCACCCTCTTTGCCTCCACGTTTCCCAAACAATTGCGTCGTGTCGTCATCGTATACGAATTCCATGCCATCTACTGCATACCCATGGTAGAAGATGATACGAGAGAGCACTCGGTTCTGTTTTCCGCCACTCTCAAAAATGATCTCCTGTGGTTCAGTGCCATCCATGGCTGAGTTGCCCAGGGGCTTCCCTCTATAAGCTGTCTTGCCGAGCGGACCAGGGGTCAACTTGAATGAAGACTCTTTGGAGCACAGCTTTTTGAAGTCGTTAATATCCAAGGAACCACCGCCATGCGATTTGACAGACACCCTAAGCCGCCCCTTCCGCTTGTTCTCTGGGAGCTTCTCGCGTAGCTCGCGGTCGTTCAAAGTCAGTTGACGTTGTACCGAATTGTTCTCGAGGGGATATTCAATCCATTTTCGGCAGAGATCATCGTCTTCTGCGAATAGCTCGATGAACGCGATTCCGGTCGCTGCCATTACTACCACGTTCCCGCTCTCAACTGGAAAAGCATGGACACTGTCGTCAGTGTTCATGGGGGGATCGTTTGGCAACCTGAAGCAAGGATGCGCGCGGAAACGTAAGCAATCCAGGCGGTGCCAACCGCACTCGTCGTCTTGAAGAACCAAAGCCCCCTTGGACTTGGTCCTTGTGCAAAATGCATCTCGGGTCACGAAGCTGCGGTTGAGAGTAAGGTAGTCGCGAAGCATCACGCCAGATTCCTGGTGGGGACATCCGAACAGGTGACCTGTCTCGTGTAAATGCGCACCGATTCCGATATTGGCGGCCTCCCAAGAGCTGCCAGCCTGGTTGCAGTCGTTGGCGACATAGGCCAGGTCAGTCGGAGTGCAATCCGTAAATGCAGGGACGACTTCTTCGAAGCTCGTGGGATAGCTTTGCAGGCAATGGGACCCGAAAATGGCCAAGTGCAGATCGCCTGCATTTCCGCCCAGTGCCGCGTGGCCCCTTACAACATTGGCATCCTTATCCCATTGCGTGTCGAGCATCAACGCGGAAACGTATTGCTTCTGGCCATCTAGTGGCCTGAAGTACTGTTTGACCGCTTCGGCAGCTATCCCAAATAGGTCTCCCTTCTTGGTCGCCTTCTCATTCTGTTGCGCCAGCTCGAGATCTCGGATTTCGGCGACCGTCTTGTCTGATCTGATAATATGGATTCTGGCCTCGGAGCGCAAGTTTCCGTTTTCGCGATCCCGCTGGTTCGATGTGCCGGCGGTCCACTCCTCTTCAAACCTGAAGACACGACGTCCAAGTTTGTTTCGCCACATTTGCTCAGCTGTAAAGGCTTGCCAGAGGTAGGCGGCCATTCGGAATTTGCGAACTGCCGTCTCCAAATCGTTGCCCTCCCGCTCGATCCTTGTAGGTACAGCATCGAAGGTCTCGGGAGAATCCTTGGCGACCACGATAGCGAGCTGCAGCGGCGGTGCATTGTTCGCTGGCAACATGTGTATCGTCAAGTAAGATGCGTGAATCGGATTAGATGACGAGCTATTGGGTAGCTTTGGACTTGAGAAATCGAAGCGGATCTTATTGGGGCCTGGCTGCAGGTAGACGAGGGCCTTGAAGTTGGAGTTGCATGCGGGCCAACATGTTGGTGGAAAGTTGTCGTCGAGTCGTGTGACCGAAACAGTGCCGTCGAGTGAGTGCTGTGAGGAGTCTCCGATTGTCCCGTGTACGAGGAGAACCTTTTGGTATACCTTGTCAAATGTTAGCAGAGCGCTCGGAAGCTGCAGCTAGCACTCGGTAACCGCGATTGCGGACGTCTGTGGCTGACTGTCTGAGCGAAGCCGCGGATGGCATGATTGGAGAAGCAAAGGTGACACCACACGGGGCCACGACCCATGCATATGGCTGACTTCACTTACCCAGGCATTGTCGGTGATGTTTGCAATTCGCGGCGCATATTGAGAAATTGGCAACGCCGACTTGCCGCCCACAACAGGAGAGCCAAGGCCAGCCATACCAGAGACGCTGTGTCGGTGGGAGTTGGGTACTGGTTGCAGCGGTGGACGAGCTTGAGGATTACCACCATTAGAGTCCTTCACTGAGAGGTCGAGAGCAGAATCAGAGGCTTGAGCCATGGATGGCGGGGTCGAGGCACCGCTTGTGGCAGTGGGAGTGGTCATGTTGCTGGCATCGCTAGAAACATCGGTGTTTGATCGGTCGGTCTTGAAGCTGGCTTTCGAACGACGCCGGAGTCCTCTGAAGTTGAGAATGGACGGGGCCATTGTGCCTTATAGAGCATTCGATAGGTCAACCGCAAACGAGTGACAGACCCAGCAAGAGATAGGTTGGCATGTGCAGCGTCCTGGAGGAGCAGATTATGCGAACTGGTAGAGTCGGGCTGGCTCGGGTCCAACGGATGGAGGAGCAGAGAGATGAATTGGGTTTGTCTAGACGAGCAGAGGAAGATAGGCAGGTTATTGAGGACAGGTAGAGTCCCAACGGCAGTAGAACCCGAATGGGGGTTTCCTCGAATCGGGTCACTGATCAGCGAGTGGTATCTGCAACGAGTGTGTGTTTGGTGCAAGATGAGCGGCGTTTGAAAGGAGGCGATGTGGACGGATCCGCAGGAGTGCGGCTGCAATGAAGCAACAATTGACAAGCAACGGATGCGAGGCGTAAGGTAGAATCGGCAGCGCCGCAGAAGAGCATGCAAGAAAGTAAGAAGGAAAAGGGCGCAAGTGTTCTGCAGGGAAAGTATGGGAACCAGACCAAGGTCCAAGGATGGGATGAGAGAGGACGGGACGAGAGATGGGATGATGGGGGGGAAGGTTGCTTGGGGAGGAACTCCGGAGGTGACCAAAAAAAAGTTGTCCAACAATTAATTGGAAGTGTGCAAGAGTGCAATACCGGTACTGCGTATGCAATGTCCAAGGTCCGGACGCTTGCTCCAGAAGGAGTGAGGTGTGGTCCATTCGGTGTCCACGTCTTCGTGCACACTTCACGTCTCACGGGCCGGCCTGACAAGCGTATCCGTAGTTTTGATGCCGTCTCCATTCGAGAAGCGACAGATGCAGCTAGACATGGAGCAAATCCAGATTTGCGCGTCCAAAGAGGGACAGCATACGGATGCGCTGTAGGCAGGTACACTAGCATAGCACGAACGGGTGCGCAAATTGAGGTGCAGCACAACGGCAGGGCCCATGTCCAGACTTGCGTGTGGATTCATACATTTGCATAAGAGGCCTGCTAACAAGCCAGGTAGTCATGCTGGTCGGCAGATAACCGGCAGCGAATTCGTCGATGACGTTGCTGTGTTTCGAGGGTGGGAAACATGAGTACGAATTGAGATTGCGACCGGGGGGTTGGTTGACCAGGAAAATGGAGTAAAAAAACAAAACTGGGCAGATAACGAAGCTTGAAACTTCCATTGAAGGTCAGGGTACCTATCTAGGTACGGGTACTGAAGGTACGTGCTCAATTGCCTGAGGTAGGCACCTTCATTACCTTACTCGTGAGTATCGATGTACGAAATAGGTAGTGTCCTTGTCTCTTCTCCTTGCAGATGGTATCGCTCATTTGCATCTTCCTCCATGTCGTTCTCGGTGTCCGTACGTACCTCACAGCTGTCGCATCGCATTCAAGTTTCTCACATCCACTTTGATGAAAGCCCAGCCAACGGAAGTGGGGGCGACTTGCAATGGGATTTGTATTTGGAGGCTAGCGTCATGGTCTTCGTCAACACCACGCAAACAAGTGCGGCTACCTTAGCAGGAAACCAATAGGTGTCTTGTACTAAGGTATGCACTAGTGTCGACAGAAGACAACCCCTCCAGAACACCAGCCAGGCGTGCCAGGTTGGCGAACCTGATAGTGGCTGATTGACTGCAGGCTGTGGCTGTGCCAGGCCCCCTATCAGCATAGCAGGGCAAGCACTGGACAGGCCCGGGCGGCAAGGACCGGGGTGTCGCCGAGCGGGTGGAACCACCTGTTGAAATGGAAAGGTGTGATCGAGATGAGGAATTCAGTCACCACCACTCACCAGTCACCACCAGCAGCGTTGCGACATGCTACACACACCTCTAGCACGCAAGCACGGCAAGGTACGGATGGGCGGCCACTGGAAGCTAACGTATCCAAATCTTATCTTGGCTCGGTGGTCGATGCCCAGTTTGACCTAGTTGGCACTGGGTAGGTACAACAGTTCTCTTGATCTGTACGTTGGTTGCTTGGCAGCTCTGAATGTAGGTAGCGTTTAGATCTAGGTATCATCTCGGTGGCCGCATGCCCGTTGCCCGCCGAAGGAAATACCGGGCAGACGTGGAACTGCAGTACTTCGCGTCTTGTCATCTGTTCCATCCGCCTTCCTTCTTTGCAGACGCTCTCGCTCAGCACCTGTTAAGGGGCACACTGATAGCTCCTAGCAAGGACGTGTGGCTTCAGTCTGTATTCGTGAGGGTTCCTCTTCCCTTTCTTGCATTCAAATTCGGTTGGAACGGCGGCAAAGACCAACGTTTGGTAAGGAGTCTCCGTACGGAGTAGTTGATGGTGGCTTCGGGTACCTGACAATAGGTACCCACTAGCTGTGCCGATTGCCATTGATTGTCGATCCGACTCACGCAGCTCGCAAGCCCACTGCGTCGCCTGTTGGTAGTTATTTTTGGCCAAAGTGGGCAGCGCGGGAGAACTTAGAAACCAGTTGAGACTTGAGAGAGAGAAAGAGAGAGAAAGAGAATCTCCTGCTTTTCTGAATTATCTTGGTTGTGGCCCCCTGTCAGGCGCATGCTACAGTTACCACCTAGACTCTTCCTCCCTGCACTATTCTACAAGTCTGCATACCTGTCGTATCGCCGAAAGCACAATAGGATGTGGAAGATGTGTATTTCCATCCGTGAAGAATTCAATTGCTTGCGGCTATTCGTATATCCATACGCTACCCTCGATAGTCGGGTGCTACATCCACCTGGTGCATAAGTGAAGGCGATGTCCTCCTAAGATAGATACTGGCTTAGAGGGGTTCGACCATCCGTTTTAGTATTCGCAGTACCTTATGACAGAGTAGTTACGTATCCGCCCAAGATCACCTTACGCATGTCTCGATCTCCAGTTATCTCCACCAACTGGAAGGCACATTATGCGGAATCAGGTCCGTCGGGCATTCGTATTCTCATGATCAGCAGACAGCGTACCGCATGGCGTTCTGCCTCTTGACCCTGAAAGCGCGAGAAAGCGATGTGCGTTTGGCGATGTCTATTATCACGAACGACTTTTTTCCGTCATCGTCTCTGCAGTTAGGCTGCAGCTACCAAGGTATCCAGTCGTTGAACAAACACGTTGGCTGATGCGAGTTCAAACATCACTTCTCGGTTGTCGGTTGTAGAGAAGGCAACAATGGTGTGCTGAGACTGGCTTCTCGCGGTCACTTCCCTTCTCAGTGGCATCCAGCTCGTCCCCAAGACTCGGTTGATTTCACCCCGCGAGGGACGCTCGTTGGTCCCTCGAGGCTCGAGCACCACGCATGTCTTAACTTGGTGTCGTAAACGGGGTGGCAGGGAGAGATTGACGAGCCTGGGATGCAGAGTGAACTCACTAGCTTGCGCGTGGTGTGCGTGGGTATGCGCCCAAGGAACTGTTAGCAACGACAGGGGTCTTAATTGATTTTTCCTTTCTGCCCCTGGGCTCCTGGAGTAATGGGGAAATGACCGACTACTTTTCACTATTCGGATAGAGGCTGCCCGCTTCGGCACATGGGCGCCTCTACTGCATGTATTGCCCGCATGTGTGATTGGTAGATAAGTGACCTGCCAACGGTATCTTGGAGGAATCCACGGATGGGAATGCTGGACAGTCTCATGCCCATACAAGGCCTGAAGGCCTGGAACGCAGCGACGTATCCAGTGACATCCATTCCAGTGACCACGACTTACGGATACTCATAAGGCCAACAATGAGTCCCATGCCCTCCATGGCTTTCGGACAGCAGTACTAGTAACCAACAATTCGACTGAATAAGGGTACGGAGCAACGTTTGGTGAGGCGTATCATCAAGACTTGCAGTCTTGGTCAGCCAAGTGTTTGGTCCTGCTTGCGCGCTACATGACCAATGCATCAGTATAGGACATCAAATCAGACTTTAGATGAGCTTTTCGAAGAACCGAAAAGGCGAGCACGAACTCGGTTTCTGAATAAGCTTCTAGGTACTGGTAGTATAAGGTCGGCAACCAGGACGAAATATTCTTTGGTCCCGCCCTCGCCTCAGTTGCCGTGACAAGTGCAAGTTAGATGAGCAAACCCGCCATAGGGAAACCTGGCATCCGTTTGTGGTAAGGCGTTTCTGATCCACGCGCACTCGCTTCTGCCCGGGCCTCGACAACGAACAGCTAACTCAGGTAGGTGCCAAGATTCCTACCTACCTTAGGTACCTCCCGAAGGATAGGACTGATTTGGTGGTAGAACCTATCCGTAGACCTGAAGTTCAGCGTGACCTCCCCGTCTCAAGGCGCCTGCACCTTGTTCTGGCTGGCCGTAAGAGGCAATACAGGCCACCTACCTTATCGGTATTCAGCTCGACGGGGGTGTGCTCTCCTACCCAAGGTGCACTATCTAACTTGCCACTCTTGCCTAGGAAGTCAAGATCGAATGCAAATAAGGTATACTGAGCATGGTGCGGATAGATTGCCTCCTCCCTAAGGTGCCTTACCTGGCTTTACTTTGAGGTAAGTACCTTAGGAACGGGCAGGTCCGGGCGACCTCACGAAACAGCACTCCACTAGCGATACCTTACCGTAGGAGGCACTTTCCAGAGCAAGAGGTAAGGTAGGCAGGTAGATGGGTAAGGTAGGATGAGGTGCCCTGGATCCGGCGTTTGGCGCTTCGTTTCCACGTCAATGGGATGGAAAACCTGGGTGCCCGGGCAGACTGCAGACTCAGAGGGGCCCAGCGGCAGCGGCAGGTGGCCCACGGGTCTGGTTGGGTCCAGTGTCCTCCACTGCCCTGGGCTGTAGGTGAATTTTACTTCCCGTCTGGGTCCTCTGTCCGCTGAGGCCGGGCCACTCACTGCGCTACGTTTGCCAGCTGACCCGGTGGAAACACCACTCAATCTGAACTTTCCTCTTGCTCCCCGTCCGGCCAGGTTCTTTCGTTGCCATCCTCCACCACCGCAAAATCTCAACGACGCAGTGCATGACTTCGACTTTGGAAAACTTCATACTCCCTACCTTGATTCTGTCTTGAAGACACACGCATACATCCTTATTCTTCTTCTGCTGTTGCACACACTCCCTCCTCCCACGCATTCCAGAAGAAACGATCCAACCCCTCATTCACCATTCCTTTGACCGTTGGTTGCTACGGGCTTCTCAAGGTCTCACCGGTCAACGATCGGACCTTTGCACTTGACTCCCGTCACCCAACATCCTCCTTTCCCCCGCTTTACCCATAGCAGACGGCAACCGACGGCTACGACGCTTCGTCTTCCTACACTCTGCCCTCGGATCGCATTGATTAGAGAAGAAGGGCCTGTTCTCATCCAACAATACGATCAACATCATCCACGGAATACTGCATGCCCAGCCTCCAAGTTATGTCTTCTGTGTGGAAGCAACAGCCCGAAGAGGTGGCGGACAAGGTCTTGAAGCGGGTGGAGGTCAGCAAGGTATGTCGACAAAGGGCTGTGGCAAAGGCCGCAGCATATCTCGCAATGCAATAAGTCGCTGATCCTAACAATATTCCAGATAGCCCGAAGATTACAGAACCGACTCGCGCTGGCCCAGTTCAAAACCAAGCATGGTTGGGAAGACCTGACACTCGATACCATCGAACCAAAGTATGAGGAGGAACTGCGACGGAAGCGTTTAGCCGAGGGCGACCTCTTGTCCGACTCCTCTTCGAGCGCCTCCGATCTTCCATATCCCACGAGAACCCTCATGAGCTCTCCTCTGAAAGCCCCCCTCTTTTCCGACGCCATCGGCTCTAGCAACGGAAGCACCGGTCATCGCAAGCGCACTTACATGGCCTCTTTCGATTGTCCATCGTCTAGTCCGAGCAAACGCTATCGTTCTTCCCCTACCCCCATCAAGTCGCTGCACGGTCATACCTCGTGGAAAGAGAGCCATCAGCTGGCGCAGTCGTCTCCGATTAAGCCTAGGAGACAGCAGCACTTCACCACATCCACTGGTCCCGATGTTTCATTCTTTCAAGGGGCTCGAAGACTGGCAGACGACCTGGTATCGCCAAATTTTGCGGCAGCCTCGGACGACGAAGACGATCTCCTCCCCGTGCAGTCATTCAGGGCCACGAATATTCGGTCTTCACCTCCTACAACACCACCAATGCGCAACC